TGCCACAGTCCAGGCCACGAGGGGCACGGGACCCTCGGCGCCGGTTTCGTCCGGCCGCCCCCGTGCAGGTCGCCCAGCAGACCGCGGCTGCGGCAGGGACTTGGAGACGCTTGGGGGCACGTCAGGCACCGCCCCGGGGATCCTCGGGGCAGGACAGGGGCCGCCGCCCCCCCAGGGCCCCAAACAGGCGTCGGGACACGGCCTGAGGGCTGTGGGCCGGCGGCGGGCAGATTTACACCACAGCACCTGGCCCTCTGGGAGGCCCAATGCGGAGACGCTTGGGTGGTTCGAACTATGTCCCAGGGCTACAGGTTGCAGTTCCGCCGTCGGCCCCCACCCCCTTCGGGGGTCAGGGTGACTTCGGTCACAGATCCTGCACGGGTCAGCATCCTGATGCAGGAAATAGTTGTGCTCCTGGACAAACGGGCCATAGAGGTCGTTCCGCCGCATTTGCAGGCGGACGGCTTTTATTCGACGTATTTCTTGGTGCCCAAGAAGGACGGGCCCCTGCGGCCGGTACTGGACCTCAGGGGTCTCAATCGGTTCCTGAAGGTGCTGCCCTTCCGCATGCTTCGGACTCGCGATGTCCTTCAGGTGGTTTGTCCGGGAGAGTGGTTTACGACCATAGACCTCAAGGATGCATACTTCCATGTCCCGATCCATCCGGGGCACAGGAAGTACCTGCGATTTTCTTTCCTCGGGAGGGTGTACCAGTTTCTGGTTCTGCCATTCGGCCTGTCTCTCGCCCCCCGAGTTTTCACGCGGTGCGTGAAGGCAGCCCTGAGCCCCCTGTGTCGGGCGGGGTTGAAGGTCCTGCCATATCTCGACGACTGGCTCGTCTGCGCGCCGTCGTGTCGCGAAGTGGGTCTGGCCACGGCCGGGGTCCTTGCCCACGTCGAGGCGCTGGGGATGACGGTGAACCTGCAGAAGAGTTCTCTGGTTCCGACTCAGCGGGTGGATTTTATCGGCATTGCCATAGATTCTGTGGCCATGCGGGCGAGGCTGACCGAGCAGAGGAGGGTCCGGATTCGGTCCTTGCTCCGGGCCTTTCGCCTTGGGGCGGCACCCCCGGTCCAGGTGTGGCTGCGACTGTTGGGGATGCTGGTCTCGGCTTCTGCACTGGTGCCTCTCGGGCTGCTCCACCTTCGGCCCTTGCAGAGGTGGTTCAACGGCTTCCGCCTGGATCCCCGGCGACACAGGCGGGTCGAGCTGGAGGTCACGAGCAGCTGTGTGGCTCTTTTGCGTCGTTGGGACGATGTCGCCTACCTGAGTCTCGGCGTCCCGCTTGGCGCGGTTCCCGCCAGACGGGAGGTGGTCACGACGGATGCGTCACCCCGGGGGTGGGGGGCGCATTGGCAGTGCAGGTCGGTCCAGGGGTTGTGGAGCCCCCGTCAGGCACGGCTTCACATCAATGTCCTGGAGTTGAAGACCGTCTACTTGGCGCTGAGGCGCTTCTTGCCCTTTCTGCGGGGCAAGCACGTGCTCATCCGGATGGACAGCACCTCGGCGGTGTTCCACATAAACCATCAGGGGGGCACCAGGTCGTTGCGATCGTTGAGGGAGGCTCAGACGCTGCTGACCTGGGCTTACCCTCGCTTGGCCTCCATCAGGGCGCTGCACCTTCCGGGGTGGAGGAACTCGGTGGCGGATTGCCTGTCCCGGCGGGGTCTTCCCCCGGGCGAATGGAGGTTGCACCCTCAGGTGGTGCAGAGGGTGTGGCATCAGTTCGGAGAGACCCAGGTGGATCTGTTCGCCTCGAGGAGCAGCACACATTGCCCTCTGTGGTTCTCCCTGGCAGAGGCCGACGCCCCTCTGGGGATGGACGCCCTCGCCAATGCCTGGCCGTTGGTTCGGCTGTACGCTTTCCCGCCGTCTCCGTTGCTCTTACCAACCCTCCATCGGGTGAGGGACTCGTCACACGAGGTCCTTCTGGTGGCGCCAGACTGGCCCATGAGGCTCTGGTTTCCATTGCTTCTCAGTCTGCTGAACGGGGAGCCGTGGCGGTTGCCGGCGAGACGGGACCTCCTGTCTCAGATGGAGGGGAGGATTTGGCATCCGTCCCCAGATCATCTTCGGCTCACGGTGTGGCCATTGAAAGGGGCAGGCAGCCCCCAGTTGGCTTAGAGCCCTCCATCCAGCAGGTGCTGGATAGTGCCAGGGCTCCGTCTACAAGGGCCACGTACGCTCGCTGTTGGCAGCGGTTCGCTACCTGGTGTTCTGGCAGGGACGTGGACCCTGGTTCTTGTTCCCTGCATGAGGTTCTGCGGTACCTCCGGCACCTGTTCGACAAGGGCCGGGCCGCCTCGACCCTTAAGGTACACCTGGCGGCTATTTCGGCCAACCACCTCTTGGTGGATGGCAGGAGCATTGGGGCTCACTGTTTGGTGACCCAGTTTCTGCAGGGCGTGAGAAGGTTGCGTCCTGCCTTGTGCAGGCCGGCACCTGCTTGGGACCTTCCCCTGGTCCTGCGGGCCATGTGTGGGCCACCCTTTGAGCCAATGACTACCGCCCCGTTGGCAGTGGTGTCTGTGAAAACCGCCTTTCTCTTGGCAGTGACGTCGGCTAAACGGGTCAGTGAGCTGCACGCACTGGACATCAGCCCCGCCTGCCTGCGGTGGAAGGCAGATGGGTCGGGGGTGACGCTGTGGCCCAACGTCGCCTTTCTTCCCAAGGTTCTGCCCGCGGGCTACGTGAATGCCGCAATCGAGCTGGGGGCGTATTTCCCTCCCCCATTTCTTTCGGAGGAACAACGGCGGGCGAATTTGCTGTGCCCGGTCCGGGCACTGCAGCTCTATATTGTGGCCACAAACACTGTCCGGCAGTCGAACCAGCTGTTTGTCTGTCACGGAGGAGTGAACAGGGGTCGGGCCCTCTCGAAGCAGAGGCTGTCGCATTGGGTTGTGGACGCCATTGCGATGGCTTACGCGGCAGTGGGTGCCGTGGCTCCCCCTGGGATCGTGTGCCATTCCACCAGGAGTGTTGCTACATCCTGGGCGGCGATGAGAGGTGTGCCACTGGCGGACGTCTGTGCTGCGGCGTCCTGGGCAACTCCGTGCACGTTTGCACGCTTCTACCGCCTCAACGTTGGCCACGGGTCCACGCTCGCTTCGGCGGTGCTGCCTCTGGCGGCTACCTCCTGAGTGACGGTGAGTTTTATGTTCCTCGTGACACTTCTGGCATAAGTCATCCACTCTGTTTACTGCCACTGGCAGTCAGGAGGGAACGAAACAGAACGGAAGTTACGGTGTAACTATGGTTCTGTGAGTTCCTGGATGACTGCCAGTCACAGGGGTCACTCGGAACTTCTCGGGCGAGAAGATCCCGGGAGACCCGAACGTAGCTATCGGCGCGTAATTTATAGACTCGCGACCAGGTGCGCTACGTGTCACGTGCGTGACTTTGTTTACATTAGTACTCGACCTGCGCAGAGCGCGAGGAGATACATCCACTCTGTTTACTGCCACTGGCAGTCATCCAGGAACTCACAGAACCATAGTTACACCGTAACTTCCGTTGTGTTTCTATCTCCAGTAACTCTGGCATAAGTCCTATGTCTTGTTTCCAAACCAGTTATCACCAAGTCATCTCTTCTGGTATACTGCTCCAGTTCATCCACCCTCTGTTCCAATACCATGATCTTCTTGTCCTTTTCTGCAAGCTTGAATTTCAGTGTCTTGACCTCATCCATTAATGACAGTAGTTGATCCTGTTGTACTGTTAGCTTAGACAGCTCGGCTGACATAAAATTCAATGATTTTTTAATTTCCTCCATATCTTCCTCGAGTTTCTCTGTTTTTCTAGGAGGGGCCATTGTATTAGGCTTACCTCTCTCTCAGTCCTGGTTGCCGGTGAATCTGGAGCCTGGAGCCCCAGGCTGAGCCTGATTGTTGGATCAGGTGGCTGGTATTGAGGTGATGGTGGAACCTGGCTACTGTGCCTGGAGGCTGTTGGTGGAGCCTGGCTGCTGGGCGTGGAGGCTACTGGTGAGCCTGGCTGCTGGGCGTGGAGGCTACTGGTGAGCCTGGCTGCTGGGCCCGGAGGCTGTTGGTGGAGCCTGGCTGCTGGGCCTGGAGGCTACTGGTAGAGCCTGGCTGCTGGGCGTGAGGCTACTGGTGGAGCCTGGCTGCTGGGCGTGGAGGCTACTGGTGGAGCCTGGCTGCTGGGCCTTGAGGCTGCTGGTGAGCCTGGCTGCTGGGCGTGGAGGCTGCTGGTGGAGCCTGGTTGATGAGCCTGGAGGCTGTGGTGGAGCCTGGCTGCTGGGCCTGAAGGCTGCTGGTGAAGCCTGGCTGCTGGGCCAGGAGGCTGCTGGTGGAGCCTGGCTGCTGGGCCAGGAAGCTGCTGGTAGAGCCTGGCTGCTGGGCCTGAAGGCTGCTGGTGAAGCCTGGCTGCTGGGCCAGGAGGCTGCTGGTGAAGCCTGGCTGCTGGGCCAGGAGGCTGCTGGTGGAGCCTGGCTGCTGGGCCAGGAAGCTGCTGGTAGAGCCTGGCTGCTGGGCCTGAAGGCTGCTGGTGAAGCCTGGCTGCTGGGCCAGGAGGCTGCTGGTGAAGCCTGGCTGCTGGGCCAGGAGGCTGCTGGTGGAGCCTGGATTTTATTTGCAGTTCAGTTCTCCACAGGGACTTGTCGGATCACCAGATTTTGCACATCTCACATCTCGTATTCCTACATGAGATTACAGTGAAGTCCACTCGAAAACTGCAGAACTTTGTGCTGAAGTGCACAAATAAATAATAAATAAATAAATAAATCTTCATTATTTATGAGAAAGTGAGCGTTGCTGTGTGTGACATATACTACTCAGCACTGACTGGCTTGGTTAGTATTCTTATTGGGTGGAGTTACTTGAATGGGAGTGTTACCAGGCTTCCCATAAGAAAGCACTGGCATGTCTGGCCAGGATTTTAGATCTGAGCAATAAACTCTGTGGAGGGACCCATTTGGTTCAGAAGAACATCAGAAGACAATAAAACATAACAGAAAGCAGATCACACCCATGAGGACTCACCTCTTGAGCCAGTGAACCAGGAAGTGGTGGTCGGCCTCAGACAGAGCTGCAATTTGCCTCAGCAAGTGGGCAAAGATGACATAGATGCTGCTGCTGGAGTACTGTGGGTTCTACAAGACAGAACCAGAACATTATCACATCAGCCACTGGCACATGTGGAACATGGAGCTCCATTGACCAGGACCTGTTGGCTCTATTTGTGGGCTTTCCTCTCAGACAAAATGATTGAATGAGAACTAAAATTAGCTGAGTGTGTTTTCTGATTGATGTGAGGATGAAGAACAGCAGGAAGAAGACGAACTGGGAGGAACCATCTGAGAACACCTATTAGTTTAGTTTAACTAAGTGTTTGATTCAGGAATGACCCGACTACACAGAAATGTTCTGAGTCCAAAAATCATAAGAGGTGTGTGTCTGCATGCGTGTTTGTGTGCGTGCGTGCATGTGTGTGTGTGTTTGTGTGTGTGCATGTGTGTGTATGTGTCTGTGTGTGTGTGTGTGTGGGTGCAAATTCTGATTCTGGAGGATTAGGTAAACTTCCACATGGAAACTTTCTTTATTGCTAGCCTTGAGTTCAGTGTCATGGAAATTTGTCAGGTTTTTATAATTGGTGCTTAAAGCAACTTTCCGGAGTTTTCCCCTGTGAGATATTATGTATGATCAGTCAGAAATCTGTAAAAGTTATTATCTTATAATGTACTGTGATTAAATGTAAGCAATACATCTTTTTTTCTATTTTTGCTAAGCACGCCCCCTGCCCCACAGAGCTCCGTGCAATAGGAAACTGGGTGCTGACCAGAACTAACCAACAGCGTTAGACTACCGCTTACTTGCTTTAAATTTAAGGAATACCTCGATTGATGTGGAGTTGATGAACTTTTCACGGACAAGTAAGTCTCTAAAATATAAATATATGAAAACGCAACATGACATGAGAATAATACTCGTAAAACAGCATGTTTTAGCAGTTTGTTGGCTACAGAAGCACATTTATAAACAGAAAAGTGAAGTCGTCGTCTTAAAAAAAACAGAGCAACAGAGTTTTTGTGTGATATGCTTGTCAGTCACTAGATGATGCCATCGGATAAGAGGAATACTCCGGAAGGAAGCTTTAATTATTGTATGCTTGGGCCAGAGGCCTTTTTTTTTTTTTGAGAAAGCTTAGCGAAAATTACATGCTGACACTTTATTGAATATGTATCTGTAACAACAAAGTCTAATTGATTATTTTTGGTCTCATTTTATATGGAACTCTTGGTATATTTATATGTGATTAAGGGTAAATTGACATGGAACTTTGTAATAAAGCAGTTTTTTTTTCTTTGCCGCCTGAAAAAATTTGATTCCAGGATGAATACCTCTTTGGAAAAAGGCAGCAGACGCTTCAAACATCAATTATTTCTAAGTATTCTTGACATTAACTATACAAAATTTGACTTTTGATCAAATAAAGAACAACAATTTACAGAGGTTTATACACTTTAGGCGGGGTCTCCAATGTAACAGAAACAATATTACTCCTTTCATGGAATAGTTTTTTGTTGTCCAATCTTTTAGCTATCTTTGTTAAGATTGAAAAACGTTATTTGTCACTGAATTACTTTACAAATAGCAACTTTATGTGATGCTTCGTGACCAAGTTGGAACAACAGGTTCTCAGACCTGAAGCCAACACAGAAGTGGCAAAATGTGCAGTTCCACTCTTATCCACTAGGCGATGGCACCAGAAGTGAGCAAATCCTCAATGACTCCCATGTTAAAAAAGCCAATTTCACAGCAGAAATCAACATCCTGTTTACAGCCTAGCTAAAAAAAAAACATTTTAGGTTTAATAGATTGTTATGGAAATTTTATGTTTATTAATTCTTGATCATTGACCCAATCAACTGAAAGTAATATGTATTGCTCTATGCCTCTTTGCATGCCCGCTTATTCAGACACACCCACACAAGTCTCACACACACACATTTTTGACTTCCCACACACACGCAATCTCTCTGTCTCATTCCCATCTCTCTATAAATAAACTCTGTGAACAGATGTTCGAGGCATTTTGCCTCGTGCATTATGCCACAGTTATAACTGTTTGACTTGTCTGCTCATTGTCTCCTTCTCTCTTCACTATAGGAAATGGGTTATTGATAAACATATTGATAAAATCCATGACATAGATCAAGTTTACATTCATGACAACTCTAAGGGGGTCAATTTCTTTTGTAACTCCTGTTTAAGTGGAATTACATGCTAAAAATTCTGAATAATTATTGAGCATCACTGTGGGAGCTAGTTCTAGGGAAAGCCTTCAGCCTGGGCCTCACATTAATAGATATTCGGCCACTGTGACTCTCTGAACTTTAGCTGTGTTCTCTGTGTGTTTGTGTTTGGATGTTAATCATGGAATTATTTGGGCACAGAGGGCAAGCTGTGGTTACTAACATACCATCCAAGCAATTTGTGTTTCTTTTTTATCAGTAAGTAAAATTATATTTCTGTACTTTTTTCCGCAGGTTGAATGGGGGTGGGGGGGTCTGTCATTGAACTGCTTGGTCAAACATGTTAGTGGGGATGCATCCAATCAACCATTTATCCATCAATCATCCATCTGTCCAACCATCCATCCATCCATCGAAACCACAATCAATCCATCCAGCAATCATCCATCTTTCCAACTATCCATCCACACATCCATACAATCAACCATCCATCGATCATCGTCCATCCAGCCAGCCAGCCATCCATCCCATCCAACCATCCATCTATCTATGCATTCAACCAACCATCCATTTAACCATTCATCCATCAATCCTCCAGCCATCCATGCAATCAACCATCCATCAATTGTCCATCCAGCCAGCCATCCATCCATCTAATCAACCATCCATCAATCATCCATCCATCTATACATCCAACCAACCATCCATTTAACCATCCATCCATCTATGTAATCAACCATCCATCAATCAACCGTCCATCCAACCATCCATCCATCTATGCATCCAACCAACCATCCATTTAACCATTCATCCATCCATACAATCAATCATCCATCCATACATTCGTCCAACCATCCGATAAACCTTTCGTCTGTCAATCATCTAGCCATCCAACCATCCAATTATCAATCATCCTTCTGTCCAACTATCCAACTATTCATCCATCCATCACCCATCCATCCATCCATTAATCTATCACCCATTCATCCAATAATGTATCTCACCTGGATGAGAATAAAATAAGCTCTCAGGTCGTTTTTCGTCCGAGGCCTGAAGACAAATCACAGAATAAAAAGCAGAAACTGCTGATGTTTAAACATTTTTGCATCAATAAGTTAGACCTTGCACACACGTAGACGGGTCTTCTACAAAACAACAACAAAAAATTATTTCAAAAACTTGGACCAAAGTGAAGATTTGTGAATTATTTGTTGCCGGCCTGTTCTTGTGGATGTAAATAACTGGGGTTTTATGTTTGGCAACATCGCTATCCATGACAAGAATGTTCTGACATCATAGGAGCGACTTGTGTTTACACTCACTAGCTCGTTTTTATAATTTAGTTACTGCTCCATGTAAAAGCCCTCAAGCGAATGACGTTAGAGACAGTTATTGTCCACCACCTATTTATTCCACGTCCAAGGTATGTTTTTGAGCAAAGACTCGGATTTGGGGAACTACTGCCACCTGCTTGGCATGCCTATAAATGTCTTTCACAATGGACTGGACTGTTTATTTTTATTTTTTTTGCCAAAAAAAAAAGGTGGTGAGGACCCAAGTATTTTTCCTAGATGGGCAGAGAGGATTTTAGGTTTTTCAGAAACCTGGCTACGTGTGTACATGTCCTCAGTGTCTCACTGAGAAGAACAAAAGTCACAATTATTAAGGTCGGTTAATGAGCTTATGCTGCTCTTCATGTCAAAAGGAGGATATCAGAGATGGGATCAGAAGTTTTATTGATCTTAAACACAGAGATGTGAAGTGTTCTCACCCTTTCCACTCCCTCAGCAGACTGTTGATGATCCCTTTCAGAACCGACTTCTGGATGTCCTGAGGCTGAGCACACAATCAGAACCTTAGCTTTAACCAGAGACTACAGTTATTTTTTTTTTAAATCAGGCATTTTCATAAAGTTTATTATTACAGTGTAAACACCAGTACTAAAAGTAACATTTTACCACCCTTCTGATCAGTAATAAAAATTATGGTGTTTTGTTTTTGTTTTTAACATTCAGTTACTTTATTTTTTTTACTCAGCTGTTGCACATCAAATCTGTGCACATTTAAGAATAAAAGCCCACTGAGGAAAAGGAGTGTTTTTATGCAGATACATTCAGTCAGATGATGGAAGTCTGCAGTAAGCATCTGAATGTGGTCAGTTTAACGCCTCCTCAGAAACAAGTTACATGCATCGGGTGCGGAAAGTAGTCAGACCCCCATCCATTTTTAACTCTTTGTTATGTTGCAGCCATTTGCTAAAATCAATTAAATTCCTTTTCTCCTCGTTAATATACACACAGCACCCCCTTTTGACAGAAAAACACAGAATTTGAGAAATGTATGCAGAGTTCTTAGAGAAGAAAAACTGAAATATCACATGGTCCTGAGTATTCAGACCCTTTGTTCAGTATTTAGTGGAAGCACGCTTTTGAGCTAATACAGCCATGCGTCTTCTTGGTAAAGATGCAACAAGTTCATAACACCTGGATTTGGGATCTTCTGTCATTCCTCCTTGCAGATTCTCTCCTGTTCTGTCAGCTTGGATGGTGAACGTTGGTGAAGCCATTTTTAGGTCTCTCCAGAGATGTTCAATTGGGTTTAAGTCAGGGCTCTGGCTGGGCCATTCAGGAACAGTCACAGAGTTTCAGTGAAGTCACTCCTTTGTTATTGTAGATGTGCTCTTAGGGTCATTGTCATGTTGGAACCGTTGGCCCAGTCTGAGGTCCTAAGCACTCTGAAGAAGGTTTTTGTCCAGGATATCCCTGTACTTGACTGCATTCATCATTGCCTCAATTGCAATCACCTTGCAGCTTAAAAACACCCCCAAAGCATGATGCTGCCACTGCCATGCTTCACTGTGGGGACTGTATTGGACAAATGATGAACAGTTCCTGGTTTTCTCCACACACATCACTTAGAATTAAGGCAAAAAATTCTATCTTGGTCTCATCAGACCAGAGAATCTTATTTCTCACCATCTCTGGGTCCTTCAGGTGTCTTTTGGCAAACTCCATGCGGGCTTTCAAGAGTCTTGCACTGAATAGAGGCTTCCGACAGGCCACTCTGCTATTAGGCCCTGACTGGTGGAGGGCTGCAGTGATAATTGACTTTCTACAACTTTCTCCCATCTCCTGACTGCATCTCTGGAGCTCAGCCACAGTGGTCTATGGGTTCTTCTTGACCTCCCTCACAAAGGCTCTTCTCCCCTGGTAGCTCAGTTTGGTCAGACGGCCTGCTCTAGGAAGGGTTCTGGTTGTCCCAAATGTTTACCATTGAAGGATTATGGAGGTCACTGTGCCATTAGGAACCTTAAGTGCAGCAGAGATCTTTTGTAACCTTGGCCAGATCTGTTTCTTGCCACACTTCTCTCTCTGAGCTCTTCAGGCAGTTCCTTTGACCTCATGATTCTCATCTGCACCTGCATTGTGAGCTGTGAGGTCTTACATAGACAGGTGTGTGGCTTTCCTAATCAAGTCCAGTCGGTATAATCAAACACAGCTGGACTCCAGTGAAGGTGTAGGACCATCTCAAGAATTATCAGAAGAAATGGAAAGCACCTGAGTTACATTTGTGAGTGTCACAGCAAAAGGTCTGAATACTTAGGCCCATGTAATATTTCAATTTGTCTTTTTTAATAAATCTGCAGATATTTCTATAATTCTGTATTTTCCCGTCGACATGGGGTGCTATGTGTACATTAATATGGAAAAAAATGTATTTAACTGATTTTTGCAAAGGGCTGCAAAATAACAAAGAGTGAAAAAATAGGGATCTGAATACTTTCTGTACCCGCTGTGTCATGTGCACCACTTCCTGCTTGGAAGCTAAAATGTGTGTTTATGAGTTTATTTCTCTCACTGTGCTAAGCAGAGCGTCGTAAACGGTGCTGACGAATTTGGCATTAACTCCCGAGTCCTCAGTCGTGTTAAACAAGCCATTGGCCTCTCGCTGGACAGAAGACAGCAGCCATGTTAATGAGACAAGTAAACAGCTTTTCCATCAATGATCAGCAGATCAACTCCAGAGCTGCTCTGATATTACCTTAAAGGCCGCGTTGATTTCTATGAAGGAGTTGAAGGTGGTCAGGTAAAACTCTCGGATCTCCCTCCAGTCACCGGATTGGATGGCGTACTCCATGTCCCCCCTGTTACACAACACCAACAAAAGGTAAAACCTCCAGGAAGTTGTTCTCCTGTGACATTTAATGAGATCTATTTTCGGCACTTTCGTTGGACTCACTGGAACTCCTTGGTGGTTTTGGAACGAAGAGGGATGATGGGGTCACAAGGGAAAGGAGCTTTGACTTCCAGGGGCAGAGTGTCAATGGAGAGACGCTGCTTCTGACGAATGTCGCTGCTGATTGGAGGCAACTCTCTCACTGGTGAAACACATACAAAAAACATCCAGCAGCCGGAAACAAGAAAGCGTAGTCAGACTGCTCTCCTCGTGGTCCTCAATGAGGCAAGTGACATGTGTGACGCTGTTGTTTTGTTGCTGCTGGATCTGTCTGTGGCCTTTGATACAGTCGATCATGACATCCTTCTGGATCGATGGCAGAGCTGTGTGGTGATCACTGACCAAGCCCTGTTTGCACAGGTTTGACTCCCAGTCTGAGCTGCAACTTTTTTCTTCGTTTTTTAGCTGCACTTGCCAATATTATATTTTCAACCCTTAATTGGTAAACAGTTTAAAAAATATAAGGATAATCTGTTTATTTATTATTTATTTTTTTCTACTTTCTTTGTGTTTTTAGCCAGTGTGAGTCCATGTGAGGTGAGCAGAGTAAATCAACTAAAATGCTTCTTGGAATTCAAAGACACAAAATATTTTGCTGAATATAATTAATAAAACTAAAATATAATTAAATCTGCTTCACCTGGTTTAATAAATTACTGCCGACATGGGGAGTCGAACCAGTGTCAGCATGTGGTAAAACAAGATGAAAGGCAGGCATTTAAACCACATTTGGGGTCTCGGAGGGGGCAGAGCCCCCCGGCCCAGGGCTTTGGAGGGGCCCACCCTTGGAATGAGGCTTTCTTTTTACTCTCACATGTAGCTTTATCACCTGCAAATACGGACCTTTTCAGACAAGCTGGACATCTTTACGAAAGGCCGCCCAATATCGACTTAGTCTTGGCCTACATGGCATAGATGAGGACTTACTGATGGAACTACAACACCGAGACAGCTCTATGACAAAGTTACTGAAGTCTTCCTGCAGAGAGGAGGATGGTTTTCATCCATAAATAATCAGCAACTTTGGTGAAAGCCTTTTTACATATAAAACAAAATTATTAAATAAATGTTTTAGCTATTAATCATGAACTGTGGCCGGTAGTGGGGCAGTTACAGCTGTAATGCAGAAGGTCGTAACGGGTTTCTTATTGTCACATTGGTATTCCCTCACACAATCTGCTGCTACGTGATGATAAATGTGTGAAAAAATAAATAAAACCTTACTGAAACCCCCTGAAGACAGTATTTCAACAGCCTCCTCTCTTTTTTTGTATAAAACACGATTAGTGAGTCCACATGAAGACAGAATTATCCTCTTTTCTGTCTCATGATCAGCAGCAGCTAGGATGTTTGTGACCACAAAGTTTTCTATGTTTTCAACATGCTCACTTTCAAATGAAGTACGCTCCTCATTTTATTTCTTGTGCTTGCTCACATTTCCGTTTGGGTGCCATCTATCCAGCTCCGCCTGCCTATCGGTACATTTAACCACCGGTTGGTCAGATGCTGCTGTTGTCAGTCACTGCAGAAACAACACTTTCTGTCTATCTCTGCTACTTCCAAAAATGTCCAGCAGAAGACAGGATCAGGTTTAGCAAACCACAAAATTATTTACATATATACATATATTTACAAAGAAAGTGTCATGACAAAAGCCATGTGTGCCAAGCCTCAAAGGGGGAACACATGGGAACATCAGAGGCTATTCAAATCTGGGTGTTCATTCTGACTTTGTCCAACTGGAGGCAGCATCGAGCTCACTCTGTGAAGCAGAAAGTTTTCCCTGCCTGGCCTGCACCAAGGAAAGATTTCCGCATGATTTTGTGATTGGGTGAATTAATTATGAGTGCTTTTGTGATTGGGTAACTGGATTCGTATCTCAGCCTATAGGAAGAGCTTGGTCTTGTTTTTCTTCCTGACTCCAGAGTCCTATAGTGATTATCAATGCCAAGGAACCTTGCCTTGATGTCTTGGTCCCGCCCCGGTTTCCTAGGAGATGCATGATCAGGAACTGCGAAGGCGTGTTCCAATGCTCACGTTCTACCGAGACGTCTGTTCTCCGTTTGTTGGCCCTATAGCTAGCTGAGCAAGGATACATGGGAGGTGTTTTGTAGCCTAGCCTTGGTCAAAAATTCCCCAGAATACACCGCTGGATTTTCAAAAGGATGGCGGATCAGAAGCTGGCAGCTACAAGTTTAAATGTAAGTCAACTAATTGTAGCTATCAGGGTGATATCTGAAATGTTTTTTTTTAGATCCAAAGAAGTTATCTATGGTTGGTTAGTTGCTTATTGGTTGCAGCTTTGGTAGCTAACAGGTACAGTAGTAACTCACTTATATATTTAATTTAATAAATATATACACAATTTAAACAAAAGGCTCGTTATCCATTTATATTGAAACTAATACGCATAAAATATAACGTTACCATGTGAAACAAAATAGGAGTTGAAAACTGTAGCCAATGCTTTTATCATCTCTAGGCTAGAGTACTGCAACTCCCTGTATGCTGGCTTGAGCCAGTCCTTAATGACTCGGCTCCAGCTGGTCCAAAACGCTGTTGCCAGACTTCTGTATGGAGCACGTAAGTGGGAGCATGTCACTCCCCTCCTGACAGCTTTGACTGGCTACCGGTGAGGAGTTGCATCTAGTTCAAAATCCTGGTCCTTGTTTTTCAATCCCTGTCTGGATCAGTGCCACCTTATTTATCCTCCCTGCTGACCCGTTACGCCCCTGCAGGTTCGCTACGTTCAGGTCAGAGTGGCCTTTTGTTGGTACCGCGATCAAAGCTAAGTCTAAGGGTGATCGTGCCTTTGCAGTTCTGGGTCCACGGCTTTGGAACCAACTCCCACAAAAAATCAAACAGTCCACATCGCTTCCCACTTAAAAGCAAGGCTTAAAGGCCTCATGTGTGAAATCCATTGAAATCATGATGAAAAAATGTGACTTTAGCGCTGTGCAGTCCAGAGAAAGTATTGCAGCTACGGTGGCCCACTCATGAGTTTAACTATATAATCCATTTCCAACCTGTGTAGCCTAACCCACACAAAGCTTAAAACAAGCTACTCGACCTCTTTAAAAAAGCATTTATAATCATGACTGTTTATCAACCTACCAGTTCTGAAGGAGGCAAGCTAGTTCTGTTAGATCTTGAAGCTGTCACCATTCACACACGGAGGGGTGACGTCAGCCGGGAGGTCAGGTGTTGTGAGAAATTGTGTTCTCCTGAAATATTCTGTCCCCTCGTGTCGGGAGATCACACTTCTGGCTATCTTCACAACATTTGTGATCAACTTTTACGGGAAAATAATGCAATGTAATAATGTTATACTTGTGATTTTTTATCTATACGTCATCCTAAAAACAATAAAACAGATACAGTAAAAACATTCTTGTTAACTCTTTTGCAGCAAGCTTATGTATCATTTTTGAAAGTTATGTAAAAGGATGTAATCTCACTCAGTTTAACCATCTTTTATTTGAGGTAGTTTAGTCCTCATAATGGACAATAAGTTCTGTGGATTTGGAAATATTTGCTCTCGACTGTCTAAGGGAAACTGAATATTTCAGGGGAACATAATTTCCCACAACACCCGTTTCACGTGAATCACGGTGCCTCGATGTAAACAAACATGCTGCCGCTACAATCTATGGAGCGATCACTGGCTACTCATTAGCTACGGCTGGTGAAGGAGTGTTGGTGAGCTGGGGACATGCTGTGGAGATCAAGTAAACAATGCTGACTAGCTAATCGTGGCTCACGGCTGGCGTGGTGGAGATGGTCATCACGAGCTACTAGTAAGCCATGGCTAGAGCCGGGGGAGACGCTGTGTACGCTTTGTGTAAACTCCCACGGATTACCAGCAAAAAGGAGACCAAAGTCTAAATGTAATGTTTAAGAAGAAGTCCTCTGTGTCGGAGCATCTCTGTAACGTGTGGAGAACTACATCGCCATTAGTAAAGTGTTGTGGAGTTAAAGTAAACAATGCCGATTTAGCCACTGGCTAGCGGACGAGCGCTGGAGCATGTTGGGAGAGACGGCAGGCTGCAGGAAGAGAGGAGACTTGAGTACAAGTACTTTGGAACGGACACGTAGGGACCGGATCAGGAGTTCTGGTACTAGGAAAAGACGGATGAAAAACTTGAGGTGAGTTTAGGAGTCAGAGACACTTATCGGAGGCTGGCGTCCGGATAATAGCGGGCGGGGATCGGAACACATGCCTCTTCATTGTGTTGGACATGATGACACACCCTTAGCTTACAGTGAAAAGCAGCAAAAGAGCTGATGGAGCAGACAGAGAGCTCCGTTGGTAGGATTTCGCTTTGCATCTGCCACAAATCGAATGTGCAAAAGCACCTTTATCTTGGCATGAATTATTTACCTTAAATGTTTTCCTTTTACTTCGAGAAACATGTTACATCTCAACGTGTATTTAGTTTTAATCCACCTTAGTCAAAACAATCTGTAATCATGACGCTAAGTGGTTTCCTGGTTGCATAATAACGGGAGTAATGCGACCAATGCTCCATCACTCACCACCGTGTGAATTGACTCCAGAGGGTTAAAGGGCCTGTCCATTTGCTCCACCCCCAGCCCGGCTCTGATTTGTTCCGCTAGTCCAATAGACTACCAAGGCCAATACCACAGCCGACTCACCTAACCCCGGTTTTACACAGAAAGCGCCAGCAGCGCGGAATGTCAGCGGAACATCACTGCTTCAAATAGAATCCATCATATTCTATGGATTGTTTCAAACCTGCAGCAACACTGCAATTTCCACACGCATCCTGGAAGCAGCACGCCACGCCACTAAAGATGGGATCAGGTTCTACTTTTGCCACAAGCCAATTTTGGGGCACGTCAATTTCTGCAGATAGCATAGGGCTAAAGTTAGCAAGTAGACCGGTCTGCTGCCGTTTCGCTCCGCTGATGCTTCCTGTGTGAAACCGGGGTAAGACGCTATTGTAGGATCGTTTTGTCCGAGCAGGAGTGGGTGGAGCTTCACTGAAACAGACCATCTTATTTGTAGGTATAAATTCAGGCTGATAAAAATAACTCGTATTTAAGATAAATTACATCTTAGTAGTGCCAGTGGTAATATTTTATCACATACTGTGCCCACATTTCCTCCCGAAGGTTAAA